TTATGCTTTGACCAGTCCTCCAATCTGTTCAAGTTAGCTTGCAGACGGTTTTCAGCTGCCGTACATTGGACGCTTTTCCATAATTCGATGTAGTTAGCGAACAAGGTGACATCACAATCTACGTCCCTGACACAGTCGTTGATGAAAACAAGGAATAATGTGGGACCTAAAACTGAGCCCTGTGGGACGCCACTCACCAAAGGTGCCCCCGAAGACTGCTCGCGATCGACTTGTACTCTTTGGGGCCGTCCTGTCAAGAAGTTTTGGATCCATAGAAAGAGGGTCCCGCGAACTCCTGCGCTGCGCATTTTATGCAGGAGGCGTTGGTGAGAGACGGTGTCGAAGGCCTTTTTGAAGTCAATGTAGATGGCATGCACTATTTTGCCCTCGTCAAGTGCTTTGGTCCAGCGATCAAGTGGGAAGAGCAGATTCATAAGACAGGACCTACCACTGCGAAAGCCGTGCTAGGCATAGGAAAAGAGGCGATTTTGCTCGAGAAACTGCATTAATATCTTCTTCATGATTTTTTTCCATAGTTTAGCAACAAATGGAGGTAAGACTCACCAGCCTATAATTATTTGCGGAAGCTCGGCTTCCACTCTTGAAAAGCGGAGTGGTCGTTGCAGTTTTCCAATCAGAGGGTAGGCACCCAGTATCAAATGACGCTTGGAAGATTCAGGCTAGCGGCTTGGCCAACTCAGAAGCTAACTCCTTCAACAGCTTGGCCGGAATTGCATTGGGGCCTGGGGAGGTCGATTCTTTCAAATTTAGAAGCTCAGTCCTAATTATATCATCGATGAAGAGAACTGTACCAATAAATAGAATCAAATCGTCTTCATAATTGTGGGATAAAAAATTAGGTTCAGTCGTCTCCACGGACCGGAAAAATTGAGAGAGGTGGTCAGTCTTATCCTTGTCTTCTGAGATTTCTGCACCTTCGACAGTTCGCAATAATGGAATGGGATCCTTATTCCGCGTTCTCTGCCTTATATAACTGAAAACAACCTTGGGATTAACCGTGGCACGGTTTAACAGATCCTGTTCGAGCATCTGTCGATCGCTAACAATGAGACGTTTGATTGGTTCCTCTGCATCTTGTAACTATTAAGGGATTCAAGTGTCCTATCAATAAGGGACTTTTTCCACGGTTTTCTCTTCTTGTTAACTTCCGTCTTTAGAGATGGAGTTAATAAAGGAGGCCTGTTCGTTAGTTTTCTTTGCGTGGTTGGGCAATGGGTAGAGATGAGGTTACGGACTATCTCTTTGAATTGTTCCCAAGTTTCTTCAATATTGTCGGAGAGTGCGGATGCCCAGTAGATGAAAGAGATCATGTTTCATCTGCTCGAAATCGCCACGCCACATATTTGGTCGGAGGTCTTGCGGCTGGACAGGCAGGGAAAATAAACTGTATTCCCACATGGGAACTACATGGTCACTTTGGCCTAATGGGGGTAAGCAATTCACAATGTCAATATTTTCAAGTGACTTAGTGAGCAAAAGGTCGAGGCAGTTCATCCGCTGACTATCACGAATTCTTGTGGAAAATGTGACTTGCTAGGTGAGAGGCAGGTATTGAGTTATATGCAGGAGCTGGTGGTCGAATGCTGATTCAGAGCAATCAGCTGAGGAGGATATCCAGTGGATGGTAGGGACATTAAAGTCCTCAACGATAAGGGTATTTGATCGCGTAGCGAGGGCTTTAAACCCATCCAGCAATAGGGCATCAGCCTCAGGATCGTTCCCTGAGGGTCGGTAGACAGTTAAGATATCGAGGCTTTGGGAACCCATTGCTCTTACAGTCAACTGTACCGCTTGCAGACAAGACAGATTCGCCGTTTTTTCAGAAACATGCGAACCGTTCTTCACAAAGGTTGCTACGCGGCCCCATCCTCTAAAATTTTACGATGGCGCCACTAAAAATAATTACTATGACAAGAACAGTAACAACAGTAATATTAGTAATAAATTTCTTTCAGCACCAGTATTACTAATAGTAATTCCATTGGTAGATGTGGTAGGAACAGATCCCAGCATTATTAGTTCTAATATTGGTTGTAGAATTAGTAAAAGTAGTAGCCAAGTTAATGGTACTAGTCACAGTACAGTAGTCGCCGGTTATTAAGCCCACCTCGGGCCCAGACCAAATT